AAAAACATCAACACCAACAACACCACCAACAACAACACTGACAACACCAACAATCCAACATCACCATTGACAACATCAACAACACCACCAACAACAAACACCAACAACACCAACAACAAACACTGACATCACCAACAACAAACTCCGACAACACCAACACCGACAACATCTCCAACACCAACAACATCAACAATAATACCAACACCGACAACACAACACCACCGACAACACAACACCACTGACAATACCGACAACACAACACCACCGACAACACCACCACCGACAACACCACCACCGACAACACCACCACCCACAACACCACCACTGACACCACCACCACCCACAACAACACCACCAACACTGACAGCAACAACAACACCTACAACACCACCAACAACACTGACAGCACCAGAAAAGGTTAGTGGGTAACATTAAAGAGAATTCTAAAATATTTTACAAACATATCAAGAAAAAAAGACTAGTCAAAGGTAGGGTGGGGCCAATTAAGGACCAAGGGGGCAATCTTACTGTGGAGGCAGAGGGCAATGGCTGATGTGCTGAATGAATACTTTGCATCTGTCTTCACAAAAGAAGTGGATGCACCAAATGCCGCAGTAACGGAGGAGAGGGGAGAGGAAATGGATAGGATAAGTATAAACGGAGAGGAAGTACTGAAAAGGTTTTTTAGGCTGAAGGTGATAAGTCACCCGGTCCGGACGGGATGCAGCGAAGGTTACTATGGGAGGGACGGGTACAAATAGCGGAGACTTTGGCCACAATTTTTCAATCTTCGTTGGACACAGGAGTGGTGCCCGAGGACTGGAAAGTGGCCAATGTGACTCCCGGTACAAAAAGGGACAGAAGGACAAACCTGGGAACTCCAGGCCAGTCAGCCTAACATCAGTAGTGGGGAAACTCCACAGCACGGAAACAGCTCTGGTCAAAGTCACTAATGACATTCGGAACATCTGTGATCAGGGCTCCCTCAGCCTCCTTGTCCTCCTCGACCTCTCTGCCGCCTTCGATACTGTCGACCACTCCATCCTCATACACCACCTCTCCTCTTTACTCCACCTTCGCGGACCTGCCCTTCCCTGGTTCAATTCCTATCTCTCCACTTTGTTGCCTCTAACGGTTTCTCCTCCAGCCCCCGCACTGTCACGTCTGGCGGCCCCCAGGGCTCTGTCCTTGTCTTCTCTTTAATATCTACATGCTCCCCCTTGGTGACATCATCCGCAGACATGGGGCAACTTCCATGTGTATGCGGATGACATCCAACTCTATCTTTCTGCCTCCACCCTCAACTCCAGATCCACTGCTGTCCTGACAGACTGTCTGTCGGACATCAAGTCCTGGATGAGGGCAAATTTCCTACAGTTGAATGTGAACAAGGCTGAGGCCCTCCTGATTGGCTCACGCCAGCGCCTCCGCACCTCAGGCTCTGGCAGCATCAACCTCCATGGTTGCCCACTACAACTCACCAACTCACCAGCCCGCCAGGAACATAGGTGTCTTTGTCGACCCTCAACTGTCTTTTCTCCCCCACATCCAAGCCATGACCCGCTCTGCCTTCCCTCAGCTCCATAACATCGCCCGACTCCGACACTACCTCACCCTCAGGCGCTGAAACTCTTGTTCATGTCTTCATCACCTCCAGCCTCGACTGTGCAAACTCCCTGCTTGTCGGCCTTCCCAACTCCTCCCTCCACAGCTGCAGATAATCCAGAACTAACTCTGCAGCCCGTGTCCTCTCCCGCACCAAACTCCGTGACCCCATCTCCCCCATTCTCGCCCGTCCATTGGCTCCCTATCCTTCAGAGGATCCAGTTCAAGATCCTGGTCCTCACCTACAAAGCCCTCCATGGCCTCACCCCACCCCACCTCTGCCACCTCCTAACCCCCTACCAACCCGCCCGCTCCCTCCCTCAGCCGGCTCCGGCTGCTCCACGTCCCCTGACCCACCCGCCCCACCATTGGTGGGAGAGCCTTCAGCCACTCTGCCCCCAACCTCTGGAATTCCATCCCCAATCACTCCGCCTCACCCCCTCCTCAGCCTCCTTCAAGTCCCGCCTCAAAACCCTCCTCTTCGACCATGTCGAAAACCATAACGAATCTTTATTAGATTGTTGTCATTCATACTGGAGATGACAATGGAATATTCTATGAGGTTCTAGATGCAATATTTTGTGAAATTAGTGTTTAAAATGTAAGAATTATTATTTTCTAAATGCAAACATTGTCCAATGTTTGTATGAGTTTTTGAGTTTAAGTCGTTTTTGACTTTGTGTGATACTTTTCTTTTATATGAAAATTAGTAAAAAGGCTCAATATTGTCAAAAGTGATCTCTAATCCTTCCCCCTGCACCCCCAAAGACATTAGTTTTAGCTATGGTATAGTTCCATGAACACCCAGCGCTTTCCGATTCCTCACTTGAGGCTATTAAATTGATGCTGGATATGTCTGCCTGTTTAGGTGGTCAGAGAAAGATCCCATGAAACTAATTCAAAAGGAGAATGGAGATTCTCCCAGTTTCCTGGCAAGCAATGCTCCAGGGATCGTTGACATGTTATTCAGCTAAATAGGGCATCACAACTGAAAATCGAATTCTGCTCTCCTTGGCATTCCTGTAGCTCAGTGGTTAGAGCACTCACCTCACAAGCGAGAGACCTGGGTTCAAATTCCCTGCAGGGTGAAAACTTGGGCAAGTTTCCTTACTCCACACGTCTGGTCATTTTCAATCCACAACTGTTTGTGGGACGCTGCTGTGCACAATTGGCTGCCGCGTTTCGCCCACAAATATACAGTCACTACACTTTACAGTCTATTCTGTGAAGCACTTTGAGATGTCTAGAAGACGTGAAAAGCACTATATCAAATGCAAGGATTATTATTATCATTATTATTATTATGTCATCGGTCACTCCTCTTCCCCTCCCTTATCCCGCCCTCGGGTCTGTAATGCTGTTCACTGTCCAGTGCCTTGGGACATCCTCCCGACGTGAAAGACGCTAAACAAATGTAATCTTGTTGTTGTAGTGGAGTGCCACAAGGATCAGTGCTTGGGCCTCAACTATTTACAATCTATATCAATGGTCTGGACGAGGACATAGAACTTAAAATATCTAAATTCGCAGCTGATACTAAGCTCGGTGGGAGAAATAAGCTCTGAGGATGACACAAAAGGATTGCAAAGGGATACAGATAGGCTAAGTGAGTGGGAAAGAAGGTGGCAGCTGGAGTATAACGTGGGGAAGTGTGAAGTTATTCACTTAGGTAGTAAAAATAGAAAAGCGGATTATTTCTAGAGGGGGAGAGATTAGATAGTGTTGGTGTTCAGAGGGATTTGGGTGTCCTTGTACACCAGTCATAAAAAGTTAGTTTGAAGGTACAGCAAGCAACTAGGAAGGCTAATGGCATGTTGGAGTCCTGTAGCTCAGTGGGTAGAGCACTCGCTTTGCAAGCGAGACATCTGGGTTCAATTCCCGGCAGGGAAACCTTGGGCAAGTTTCCTTACTCCACACAGAGCCTAATAATAATCCCTCCAAAACAAAACAATAATAAATTGGTCATTTTCAATCTACGACTGTTTGTGGGACATTGCTGTGCACAATTGGCTGCCGCGTTCGCCCACAAATATACAGTCAATTCACTTTACAGTATATTCTGTGAAGCGCTTTGGGACGTCGAGAAGACGTGAAAAGCGTTATATCTAATGCAAGGATTATTATTATTATTATGTTGGAGTTTATTGCAAAAGGTTTAGATTACAAGAGTAGTCTTGCTGCAGTTGTATAAGGCCCTGGTGAGATCGCACCTAGAATATTGTGTGCAGTTTTGGTCTCCTTATTTAAGAAAGGACATACTCTCCTTAGAGGGGGTGCAGCGTAGGTTCCCGAGGTTAGTTCCTGGGATGAGGGAGTTGACCTATGAGGATAGATTGAGTAAACTAGGCCTATATTCTCCAGAATATAGAAGAATTAGAGGTGATCTTATAGAAACCTATAAGATTCTTAAGGGTCTTGACAGGATAGATGCCGTGAGACTGTTTCCCCGGTTGGAGGATCTAAAACTAGGGCTCATAGTCTCAAGACAAAGGGTCAGCCTTTTCGAACTGAGTTGAGGAAACATTTCTTCACTCAGAGTAGTGAATTTGTGGAATTCTCTAACTCAGAAGCTGTAGATGCTCAGTCAGTCCTTGAACATATTCAAGACTGAGATTGATAGATTTCTAAAGGTTAGAGGGATTAAGGGATATGGGGATAAGACGGGCAGATGGAGTTAGGTTAGAAGATCAGCCATGATCTTATTGATAAAATAATAATAATCCCTGCATTTGATAGTGCTTTTCGCGTCTTCTCGACGTCTCAAAGCGCTTCACAGAATAGACTGTAAAGTGAATTGACTGTATATTTGTGGGCGAACGCGGCAGCCAATTGCGCACAGCAATGTCCCACAAACAGTCGTAGATTGAAAATGACCATTTATTATTGTTGTTTGAGGGATTATTATCCCCCGAAAAGCGATCGCCAATCAACTAACAACTGGGTTCCTATTAGTGTGTGGAGTAAGGAAACTTCCCCAAGGTTCAGCCCTGACCCGGGAATCAAACCCCAGGTCTCTCGCTCGCGAGGGGTCTGACCCCTGAGCCACAGGGGCTGTGGGGTCACATCGGGAGGACGTCCTGAGGCGCTGAACTGACAAGAGATTCGGACCCAAAATATTTAATATTTTAAATTAAGAATCTTAATCGGAACCAAATGATTTCACGGTTGGTTTATTTATAACAAACTGATTCAGGGCAAACCCCCCCCCGCCCCCCGGCCCCCGGCCCTCCCCGCCCCGGCCCTCCCCGCCCCGGCCCCCGCCCCCGGCCCTCCCCTCCCCCCGCCCCCCGGCCCCCCAGTCTGGTTGTGGGGCTGATCCTCCGGAACCTTTCTCCGCTGCTCAGTGTTTCCGGGCGGACCCTCCTGTGGCCGCACTTGGTTGGCAGCGCGCGCCCGGACCCGGTGCTGAGCCTCGGTCCGTTCCGGTGGATGTCGGTCCGGGGCGCGGAGATGGCGAGTTCTGGCTCCACGGCGGCCGCGGCGGGTCCTGGTCCGGGCCCCGGCCCCGAGAGGGACTCCCCCAGCCCGGGAGCGAGCGGGGGCGGCACCGGGGGCGAGAACAGGAGCCGCTGCACCGGGGAGGCCGGGGGGCAGGACAGCACGTTCGAGTGTAACATCTGCCTGGACACGGCCAAGGACGCCGTCATCAGCCTGTGCGGCCATCTCTTCTGGTGAGGGGGAGGGGCTGGAGTGAGGGGAGGGGCCTGGACTGTGGGGGGGGGGGTCGAGGGTGCGGGGAAGAAAGGGCGAGAGAGGGCTGTGGGGGGGCAGGTGAGAGAGGGTGGGGGGGCAGGTGAGAGAGGGTGGGGGGGCAGGTGAGAGAGGGTGGGGGGGCCGGTGAGAGAGGGGGGGGGGCAGGTGAGAGAGGGTGGGGGGGCAGGTGAGAGAGGGTGGGGGGGGGCAGGTGAGAGAGGGTGGGGGGGGCAGGTGAGAGGGGGGGGGGCAGGTGAGAGGGTGGGGGGGCAGGTGAGAGGGTGGGGGGGGCAGGTGAGAGGGGGGGGTGGAGCAGGTGAGAGGGCTGTGGTGTGGGGGTGGAGCAGGTGAGAGGGCTGTGGGGGTTATGGAACTGGTCGTTTTTTTTTAACCAAACAACTGTTATTTTATATTTTAAAACAATTGACTCTTTTTTTCCATATTTGTCCTCGCCTGGTTACCCTGAATGTCTTCAGTTGGCCCTGTTTACATCAGGTAAGTGTGAGAGAGAGTTCTGGGCTATCATTAACTGAAGCTTAACAATTATGGGACAGTATCCCATGCTATATCCACTGAGTTGGGTTTCATGTTCACCTTCTGTGCTCATCGTTTGGGAAGGGACTTATTTTTGGTCTAACTGATGTTCTCGGCATCAGACAAACAAAGTACCAATCGCAATCATCTTAGAACCACAACATTGATTTTCTAATCAATTTCAAATGCCTTTGATCAACAAATGGCATTCGATTTGAAAAGTGACACATGAGGAAACCCATCACGTTGCTTAAGAATATCCAAACCAAGCTGAGAATTCCATGCATCCCACCTGCACACGGAAATCCCAGAGATAGATAGTTGGAATTGAATGCTCACTCTCACCTAATTCTGGAATATATTAGGTGCAGTTTTGCGAGAGCCAACACTTGGGGAGAGCCCAGAGTGTGCATTTAGGATAACTGCTGGACTCTAACCAGCTAAACCCACACAGCTTGCCATTGATATTGCTGTTCCGCAAGCTTTCCTGCTGGTTTGTCCAGCTAGGACCACTCTACCCATTAGGGCTTTGGCTGCAGGGTTACCAAGAGCTGAGTGGGAGGATTCCCTGCCCCCAGTGACTGGTCAGCCCTTCCAGGTCCTCCAAATGAACCAGGCTGTCATTAGTGTATTCTAGTAAATTCTGATATGATGCATCTCTTGAATTAGAATTATTTTTGTACTTTTAAAGGTTTTGCTTTGGAATTTCAGGTGAGATTCATGTAAACTGATGTGTTGTGTTTTGGTGTGTGCATGTGGCAGTGGTTAGAGACAAGACCCAACAGACAAGTTTGCCCTGTTTGCAAAGCTGGGATTAGTCGAGACAAGGTTATTCCACTTTACGGAAGAGGCAGCACCAGCCAGCAAGATCCCAGGTGAGGAAAGCAGGAAGATCTTTGATTTGTTTTGTACCACGTGATGATGTTATCACTATGACCTGTAAATAAAGCCACCCTTCAGCAGAATCAAGATTTTGGACTATAATGAGTCCATGATGAGAGCTGCCAAATCATCTTCCAACTGAAAGAGATTTTCAGACTTAATTTTTTGAATGGGATCAAAACTGTGCATTTCATTAATGTAATGAAATTCTAATGCAATTCCAACACAAGCTTTCACATATAAAACATTAAATAAGAGCTTGTTTTTATTTGGTTTGTATTTAGTTTGGGTTATAATACTCCTTAACTTTGAGATAGCACCTTTTACCAGAGGAGAAAGTCTCAAAGTGTTTACATGATTTGCTGTAAAGTGTAGTTACTGCATTTTTTATAGTCATGCTTGAATCATTAGCTTATTTTCTCTTTAAAATGCTGACTGACCTGCTGTGAATTTCCAATATGTCTATTTGTATTACTGAATTCTAGTAATACAAACTGATATAATGGAAATCCACATCATTGCTATGCTTTTTTTTTTACTAACTATCATTAATTATTCAGAGAAAAAACTCCACCAAGACCCCAGGGACAAAGACCAGAACCGGAAAGCAGAGGGGTGAGTTTTAAGATAATTCAAGAATTGATAAAATATCGGATTGCTGTCTCAAAAAGGTGATTATGTGAATGTATTGTATAGGTGAGGCTAATTTATACATAAATTCTGCCTTTTTAGGATTTTTTTGTGACTTCCAATGATCATTAGAGTCATGTAGCTTGGTGGTTAGAGCAGTTGCCTCACAAGCAAGAGACCCTAGGTTTGATTTCTGGCCGGGCAAAACCTTGGGCAAGTTTCCTTACTACACACACCTGATAATAATCACTCAAGAAAAGAAATTGATCCCTTCAATCCATGACTGTTTGTGGGACGTTGCTGTACGCAATTGGCTGCCGCATTTCACCCACAAATATACAGTCACTTTATTCACATATTCACTTTACAGTCTATTCTGTGAAGCGCTTTGAGACATCTAGAAGACGTGAAAAGCACTATATCAAATGCAAGGATTATTATTATTTTATCATTCAGATGTTTGGTAATGTTTTTTTTTCATGATTGAAATATTTCTCGCAATTCCTAGTATTGTATTTGCCTAATATCATAAAATCATAGAATTCTACAGCACAAAAGGAGGCCATTTGGCCCATCGTGCCTGTGCCAGCTTTGAAAAGAGCTATCCAATCAGTCCCACTTCCCTGCTCTTTCCCCATTGCCTTGCAGTTTTTTTCTTTTCAAATATATATCCAATTCCTTTTGAAAGTTGTTGTTGAATCTGTTTCCACCACGCTTTCAGGCCGTGCATTCCAGACCGTAAGAACTCACTGCGTAAATAAATTCTTGTCTCTCTGGTTCTTTTGCCAATTATTTTAAATCTAGAGCAGGGAGTTAGCACAGTCAAGCCTGGACATGATGATAGCATGGATGAGTGCCTCGGCGGCCTGAGTGGTGGAGGAGGGCAATGTTGCAGAGATGGGGGAAAGCAGAACGAATAATGTAACAGATTTGGGATTTAAAAGACAGTTGAGGGTCGAACAAGGCGCCAAGGCTCCAGACTGGCTCAGTGGGTTGGAGTGTCTCAGTGATGCTGTCAATGCCTGAGGTGACGAGGTGCTGAGGGGAGACAACCAGGAGAGCCTCTGTCTTGTTGACGTTGAACTATAGAACGTTAACTCTCATCCAGGACGTGATGCCTGACAGACAGTCAGTCAGGACAGCAGTAGTCCTGGAGGTGAGGATGGAGACAGAGAGATAGTTAACTCGTAACTCCACTCCCGTATATCACTCTCGCACTTGCAGGTTGCATTGAATTGCAAGAAACGTAGTCTTGATCCGTCGACACATGCCCAGAAGAACTTGATTTCCTGAGTTTCAATGCGATTCTAATGCTTGCCAATACATTCACCTGCGGTGATGGGTCAAAATGCATTGAATTGCAGGAAATATAGTGTTGACCCGTCACCGCATGCGCACTTACCAGCTGCATTAAGTTACCCATGCACTGTGTAGATTATTAATTAATTTGGATTTTCTACGATTTATACAACTTGCCTGGAACTCGAGCTTCACGTAAGTCATGTTAAATGTTATGGTCCCGACTGATACAACTTCTGTGAGCTTTAGTGCACTAGGAATTCACAGGATTTACCTTCAATAATGTATTGTACAAGACAAGAAGTGGAATATTTTGTAACAGTGTTTATCTCACTAACCTCTAACCTAACTTTGGAATTCAAGAGCAGCCATAAGAAAGTTTCATCTGAAGAATTTATGGAAAATCCTCAGTGACATGAAGATCTATAGTTGAGTCACTAATTCTAATCCTTGTTTTAGATGACTTATAATAATGTTGCCATATTTGACTTATTTCCCAGGGCTTTCAAGGTTTTGGATTTGGAGATGGAGGATTCCAGATGTCATTTGGTATTGGAGCATTTCCATTTGGAATTTTTGCTACAGCTTTCAACATTAATGATGGCCGACCACCTCCAGGTAAACTGACTGACATGTCGTTTCTAGCTTCCCAATATTGCCAGGTTCAGTTTCTGGCCCAAGATTTGATCTACTTTGTTCTGCTTGGTGAGTTGGTTGTTGCATCTGTTCTATGTGGGGGAGATAGCCAGCGAATGTTCCCCGCAGGGAGAGTAAGACTAAAGATGAGCCTTGGGACCACCATTTCACACTACAGGTAAAATAGTTTAGAACAGCAATATACTGTTGGAGTCCTGTAGCTCAGTGGTGAGAGCACTCGCCTTGCAAGCGAGACACCTGGGTTCAATTCCAGGCAGGGAAAGCTTGGGCAAGTTTCCTAACTCTACACCCCCAATAATAATCCCTCTAAAAACAAAACAATAAACAATAATAAACAAATGCAAGGATTATTATTATTAAATTGGTCATTTTCAATCCACGACTGTTTGTGGGACACTGCTGTGCGCAATTGGCTGCCATGTTTCGCCTACAAATATACAGTCAATTCACTTTACAGTCTATTCTGTGAAGCGCTTTGAGACGTCGAGAAGATGTGAAAAGTGCTATATCAAATGCAAGGATTATTATTACTGCACCACAGTTTGAAGGCACTTATTGTAAAATTGAGACGATCTGTTCCGCTGGCTCTGCTGCTGCCTCCTCTCCCTCTGGCCTCCTCCCACAGTTTCGGCCCAGTCTCAACTTCATCCCTCTTCTCCCTCATATGAGACCCACCACACGCTCCTTCGACCCAATCCCCATCCCATTCCTGGCCTCCCAGGTCCACTTCCTTGCCCCCCATTAACAACATTGTAAACCTCTCCTTGTCCACTGACACAGCTGCGACCCCTTTCAAAACAGTTGCCATCACCCTCTACTTGAAAAATCTTGCTTTGACCCATCCTTGTTCCCTAACTACCGTCCCATTTCCAACATGCTGTTCTTGTCAAAGGTATTTAAACAGGGTTTGTTGTTTCCAAGATTTGTTCTTTTTCCCTCATTAACTGATCAACCCCACTCTCTCCCCATAGCCCTGATCAACCCCCTCCCCCGCTCTCTCCCCAAAGCCCTGATCAACCCCCTCCCCCGCTCTCTCCCCATAGCCCTGATCAACCCCAATCCTGCGCTCTCTCCCCATAGCCCTGATCAACCCCACTCCCCCGCTCTCTCCCCATAGCCCTGATCAATCCCACTCCCCCACGCTCTCCCCATATCCCTGATCAACCCCACTCCCCCGCTCTCTCCCCATAGCCCTGATCAATCCCACTCCCCCGCGCTCTCCCCATAGCCCTGATCAACCCCACTCCCCCGCGCTCTCCCCATAGCCCTGATCAACCCCACTCCCCCGCTCTCTCCCCATAGCCCTGATCAACCCCACTCCCCCGCTCTCTCTCCATAGCCCTGATCAACCCCACTGCCCCGCACTCTCCCCATAGCCCTGATCAACCCCGCTCTCTCCCCATAGCCCTGATCAACCCCACTCCCCCGCTCTCTCCCCATAGCCCTGATCAACCCCACTCCCCCGCACTCTCCCCATAGCCCTGATCAACCCCACTCCCCCGCTCTCTCTCCATAGCCCTGATCAACCCCACTGCCCCGCACTCTCCCCATAGCCCTGCAAACTTGTCCTCCCCAAATAATTATCCGCTTCTCTCTTAAAAGTTGTTATTGAATCGAAAACTTCTATTAAGTCTCCTCTTAACCTTCTCTGCTCCAAGGAGAATAATTCTCGCTTCTCTGCCTCTCCTGATAACTGAAGTCCCTCATTCCTGGTACCATTCTGGTCAGTCTCCTCTGCACTCTCTCCAATACCTTGACATCCTTCCTAAAGTGTGGGGCCCAGAACTGAACACAGTCTCTCGCTGAGGCCTAACCAGTGTTTTATATAAAGGTTCATCATAACTTCCTGACTTGTGTATTCTATGCCCCTATTTATAAAGCCTAGTATCCCATATGCTTTTTTACCAGCTTTATTTACCTGTCCGGCCACCTTCAAAGATTTACTTATATGAACCACCAGGTCTCTCTGTTCCTTCGCCCCCTTTATGATTGTATCATCAGTTTATATTGCCACTTGCGGTGTTCTCAGGCCTCTGTCCTCTACTTTTTAGTATTTACATGCTCATGCTTTGCCATGTCAACTGCAGATATGGGGTTAAATTCCACATGTATAGGGAAGACACCCACCTCTATCTCTGCCTTCATTCTCGATTCCAGGACCACTGCTTTCTGACCGATTGCCTGTTAGATATCAAGTCAACAACAACTTGGATTTATATAGTGCCCTCCACGCCGGACGGCGTCTCAGAGCGCTTCACAGTAACAGGTCCCGGGGCCGAGCCAGGGGGAGGGGGAGGAAGATGACCAAAGGCGCAGTCGAAAAGAAAGGTCTTCAGCAGAGAGTCCTAGATGGGAGCTAACATTCTAAAGTTGAACATCAACAAGACCGAGGCTTTCCTGCTTTCCTTCTTGTAATAAGTCAGTTTTTACTCTATGCCATTTTCCTTCATGGCCTTAAGAGCCTTTTTTTCCTCTTTGAGTTGCTTTTTGACCCCGTCCAACCAGGGAGGAGAGCCTTTAAACTTGGTATCTTTACTATACAAGGGTACACATTGGTCCATTGCATTCCGAATCACTTCCTTGACCGTGAATGAGCTCCATAGTTCCTCTGCTCCCTGAGCCATGATTAAACCTGCCAGGCCCACTCTGACAAGACTTCTCACCACAAATGCTTATAGCATCTAAATACTTGGCAGAGCTTGTGTGGAACCTCGTGTTTGACTCTCCGCTGTGCTTTAAACCTCACTCTGACCCACTCAGCTTTCCCCACCTCTTTACCATTGCCCACCTCCACCACTGTCTCTCTCCTCCAGCCACTGTCTCTCTCCTCCAGCTAATCCACAGATACGTTATGTCCAGGTTAGATTACACCAATTCTGATCACTGGACTACCCGCCTCTTCTTCAAGCTCCACACTGTCCAGAACTCTGCAGTTTGTGTCCTTTCCTGTACTCCATCGGCCCATTACCTCAATTCTCTCCCATCTCCACTGGTTCCCATCCCCTAGGTAAAGATCCGTGTTCTAAACTATAAATCTCTCCATGGTCTGGCCCCTCTGTAACCTCCTCAAACCTTACCAACCTGGCCGCTCCCTCCACTCAGTCTGCTTCATATCCCCTGCCCCACCATCAGTGGTCGGGCTTTGAGTATCTGCCCCCACCAACTGGAACTTCATCCTCAACTTGTTTCTTCCCTTGCCTCTCTTCAGGGTCTGCCTCAAGACCTTCCTCTTTGACTGTGCTTTTTGGCCATCTTTCCCCCTCAATCCAGCTACAAACCCCAGTTTGGGTGCAAACCCTGGACTCTTCAGCACCTTCCAATGTCCTACTGAAATGAAAGGCTCTGTATAAGTGTAACTGGTATTGGTATTCCTTAGTTCATGAGGAGTACGAAGAACAGACCGTGCTTCCTTATAGGGAGAAGAGCTGCTTTCACATAAGCTCATGGGATTCGTAGAGTCATGTAGCATTTCTTCACTCAGCCTTTTAGCTGCACAAGATTCACGTTCCACAGAGAACTGGATAAGGGAGAGAGGGAACAGGATATAGAGAGAAATGTACAGTTACAGGTATGACTGTTAGTATTTACTGTATATTGTAAGTCCATTGCATTTTGAATGTCAGGATGTGTCATCAGTTTGTGAGCACTTAAAAATCAATGTGTTGCCCAACAGTGATTTTTAAAAGTAGGTGAATTGTGTTCTGATACATAATGGCTTAAATAAACATTCCATGTAAATCCAGATGATGCATTTTGAAATTTATAGACTTGTTTCAATAAAGTACATTTAAAATGTTTCTTACTGATGGTTACTTTTTTTGTTTCTTGTGTTTTTTCAAACTGAAGCAGCACCAGGAACACCCCAGTACATGGATGAACAGTTCCTGTCTCGGCTCTTCCTATTTGTGGCCCTTGTGATCATGTTCTGGCTGCTCATTGCATAAGGACTATTGATAGAATGCCATTGACTGTGATGGGTAGTGTTGGAGTAGCAGGTGGCTGATGAACTTTGCTAGTGAAAGTGGAACTCTTCCAGTTTATCCACGTTTTTTCTATCTTGTGTAGACTTTACTTGCAAAATTTTATTGAGCAACTGTATAAATATCATTAATCTGTCTTTCTCAACATTTATCTGTGAAAGCAATATATACAGGCACCTTGCAAACACAACTGAAATAACATTTCCTCTTTTTCAACAATAATTCAGGATCGATGGCTTCTTTTTTTTCTGATTGGAAATTATTGATCTGTATGTGAATAGAGAGAAATTCAGAGCATTACCAAATGATTAAGTGTGGCTCGTCACTAAGCAGGAGAGTCCTTTGTATTTTGTTTCTTCTGGGATGGGGGGGGAGGGGAGCAATCACTCAATTGAACCACCATGTGGTGAAGGGAGGGTGATAGAGTCCAATTTTAACAATACTGTGTTTTGTAAAAATAGCTGCATTATCAATTCTGATTAAAAAGGTAAATCAAGAATAAAATAGTCCTAATAAGTCCTTCACCTATAGTCTTGAGGATGTGTTTAATGTCTACTGTAAAGTGATGGGACTGTATTTTAACATTAAAGAAGATACTATTTGAAAAGAAGAATATCGTGGTGATCTGCCAACAATTCTCCCAAATAAAAATTGGTTATTCACTTTGACTCTTTGTGGGACACTACCGTGCACAACATTGGCTGCAAAAAACACAAGGTCTCCCCCTTTACAGTATATCATGTGAAGCACTTTGGGATGGCCTCCCAATGTGAAAGGTGCTATACCAAATGTAAGGATTATTATTTTGTGGGCTAATTATTTGTGTTCATGAATAATGTCACCACTTCTTTTTGTAGAGGACTTCTGGTCAACGCTATTGAGTTTGCCCACAGATAAAATTGGTCATTCACATGATATTTGTGGGAATTTGTTGTACACTAATTGGCTGCCACATTGGTCTACAAATACAGTCACTACACTTTACACTAAATCCTGCACAGTGATTTGAGATATCCTCCTAACACGAAAGTATTATTATCAAATGCATGCAAATGATATTATCATCTTTATTAGTAATCATAGTATGGCATTTCTTAAACAAGAAGCACTGGCTCAGAATCAGTCAGGTACTATGTTGTCAAGATTAAATGAATGCCTCTAAGCAATTTTCTGTTGTTTCAATGTAATGATTTGGAGTCCTGTAGCTCAGCGATTAGAGCACTCGCTTCGTAAGCGAGAGACCTGGGTTTGAATCCCGGCAGGGCGAAATGTTGTGTAAGTTTCCTTATTCCACACGCCACTGTTTACCGAGCAGTAAGCAGGAACCTGGTTATTAGCTAATTGCTGGATCGCTTTTACGGGGGAAATAATTCCTTTAAGAAATTATAACAATAATAAATTGGTCATTTTCAATCCGTGACTGTGGGACGCTGCTGTGCGCAATTGGTCGCTGCGTTTCGCCCACAAATGTAGGGTCAATTCACTTTACAGTATATCCTGTGAAGCGCTTTGAAACGTCTAGAAGATGTGAAAAGCGCTATATCAAATGCGCGGATTATTATTTGACATTTGGTTAACATTACAAGTGCTCTCCAAAACTTCCTCATTGGTGCATAGCTTCAATGCAGAACTGAACATAACTTAAGAACATAGGAAGGTAGAATAATTAAATGCTGCAGTCAGTTGCATGATATCAATTCTGTGTTGATGCAATCTGTTACTTGTGTTGCATTGATCCAATTGTCTGCCTCCATGCTGCTCATAATATACATTTCTTTCCCTACCTCCTTAGCCTGCAACAAATGTGAGATTTTCAATGAAACTATTTTCTCTTGTTTATCTTTTATTTAGTGTTGATCTATTTGATCTGTTGACTAAACAAGTTCCTGTTCAATGGAGCATGGTTTGCACATCACTGTGATCCAACCCCAGCATTGCTCCATTCAACAGATCTTAGTCAACGGAACAAGAAATAAGTACTGTGATACTTGGTCTAACTACAAAGAGGTAGTCATCTTGTGACTATCAGTAGAACCATAAATTTAACTCGTTAACCTCTGGGGCCTTTGCAGCTTCCATAAGGGATGGAGCGGACTTCACTTACATTTGGTAATTATTGCGTGGATTCACTGGTTTACTAAGCCACAACAAATTCAAGCAAACATAATGTTGAATGACTGTATATTAATTAGTAGACATCCCAATAGCTTTCCTATTGCCAACATTTTCAATAATTAGGACTAGAAAGTGTTTCATATTTTTTCAATAACCTGTTTAAACCTTTCCGAAGCATCAAACTAACCATCCAGCGCCATGACCACTACCATCTGAAAATCATACAGGGGGATGCTGTTATCTATCTCTAATTTGCCATTCGATATAGGAAAATGTTATTGTGTAAGGGTATTTAAGTAGTATATCAGTATTTTATTATATTTGTCTACATTTATGCACAGAATAATCTCCCACCTCCCCCTTTGAAAGGTGGTTTCAGTTGATTTTATTGGATGAAAATTTAAATGATTTTTTTCTTTCAAAGGCTTCTACTGATAAATAGTAAACATGCCATTTGTCATCTGTGTATGTGAGCTTCCATCTCAAAGCCCTTACCCAAACCGTTGTAAGCTGTTAAAATCCACCCTCGACATGTGCTGCATTTGTAGTTACCTGGTTAATAATTTAAATTAATTTGTTCGTAGTGTATCTCCAATTCATTTTTAAAGTCCAGTTTCTGTTTTGTTAGCCAGTGTGAAGTTTGTGCCTAATTTATATTAGATTTATATTAGATGTGTTTTAACAAACTCCAGGGTCTTAGGAAATGGGTGTCTAGGTGTTGAAAAGCAATCTGCCTGGAGTCATCACTGAATATGGGGTAGAACTGCGATTCAGTCAGTAGTTTCTGCATCTGAGTGTCGTTTTTCAAGACTGAAAGAATCTAATTAACAACTGAGTGCCAGATAAGCCAGCCTTCTGCCAATGTTGGGCTCATGCAATTCTTTCATGTGCCAGTTTTACTATTTCTAGATTTGAGCAACTGTTTGATGGGATAACTATTGTGCAAATAACTGTCTGTGTCAATGTTAATTTACAGTGTTTACCTGTTGGTGGAAACAATTTATTGTAATAATTAGGACAATACCAGATGTAAGTAAAAGAAAAGATTTGAATTTATTGGGACAAAGAACTACAAGCTTTTTGTTTATTTTTGAGCAAGTTTCGGGCCTGGCTCTCATCCTTTGTTGTTTATTTTAGTGTAAATTGGTGCGCAAAATGTTTAGAGATAAACTGGTTCCTTACATGAATAAATTGGATGCAAATTTTTAGTACATTTATGAATTAAACCATTTACTTCACAACCTACTTCTACTTTTATTGCTTTTTATTTTTTTAAATATTGCATGACTGGAAACTATTACTGTGAATAGGATTCAAATTGTTCAAAACGTCTCTAATAAATATGCATTGTAAATCACAAGTTTATTTATGCGGTGACGAGCCACCTGGTAGTTTGTTTCAATGCTTTGCAATAACACAAATTTCTTTAATCTTTAATCTGTAGTTTATTGTTATTCAGTTGTATTGCTTTGTCATCTAATGTCAAAACGAGTTTTAAAATCTGTACATATAGAAATAAATTTATTCTACATCATCCTTTGAGTCAATCTTGCACTTTAGTGGGGGTTGAACCTTTTCGGGTGCAGTCAGGTGACACATGCAGAAACCCATCACCGAGCGTACGAGTATCCAAACCAGACTGAGAGCTGTGTTCATATTCAAACAGACATACTTATGCCACCTATGCATTTCTGTGGGTTTGGAATGGAATGCACACTCACTTCCTGGAAACACCCTACTTACTAAAACCTGGGTAGTATTCAGTGCAGATTGTTGAGCCAAGACTTCGTAACCCCTGAGTGTGCACTGAGGTACTGCTTTAAAGCTGTACAATGTTATTCTGTTTGAAAGGTAGTATATGAATGCAAGATGGTGGTGCTTAACTAACTAAAAACGTACAGCTTACCGTTGTAGGTGCTGTCTTCCCGTTGCTTGTCCAACTTCCCTACACATTAGGGATTTGGTTTGAAGTGTTAAAGGATTCGGGTGGAAAGACAGACCCCTGCCCCCAGAGGTTGAAGTTGCACTATACTGGTGATAGAGTGGGTGGTTGGTCTGTCACAGGCTGTGTCCTGGAGTACTGCTCACAGACACAGGTTCACAAACTGGACTTAAAACCATCACAGACAGTCGACTCAATTCTAACACACCGTTACTGAGCATGTAGAATCACAAAATATTACAGCGCAGAAGGAGGTCATTTAAGAACATAAGAATTAGGAGCAGGAGAAGGCCATTCCACCCCTCGAGCCTGTGCCCCGCCATTCGATAAGATCATGGCTGATCTTCAGACCTAACCCTAATTACCTGCCCTATCCCCATATCCGCTAATCCCTCTATTTTAAAAATCTATCAGTCTTGTTAGAGAAACCCAGTCCTGTAAATAAATTGTACCACAACAACCGTTTGCAACCAGCTGTTCAGTGCACTTAATTGAAACTTAGGATCGGATACTCAGTATCCCAATGGGTAAGTGGATATAAGTATAATCAATGTCTTTAACAACAGAACAATAATACCGTTTTCCAATGATGGTCAGCACTTTTGTCTTTGCCGCTTACAAGTTTCTTCCAGCTCTTAGTCCTTCATCAAGAAGGTCCGGAGTCGACTGACTTTCCAAAAAGCTTCAGGTCCCTTTGTTTTCGCCTAACCCAATCATCTTTCTTGATCCTTTCAATTCTTGTTTTACATGTGACGTGCGCCCGTAACATATCCAATAATTCGCCTTGATTCTTTCAATTCCTTCTTTACATATACATTTCTTAACCAATTATTACTCGTCCACCTCTCTTATCATTATGGCCTGACTTTCTTATCAACACGTGCACGTGTTCCTTTGTTAGTACCTAAACCAGTTTCAGCCGCACTTTCTTCTGCAGACAAGACCTTGAGACCTTATATGCAGTTTTTTTTCCCATAATATGTCTATTTAGTATGACTCCCCAGCCACACTCTTCTAACTTTAACCCCTTAATGACTAATCTACAAGCAAACATTTTTTTAATACAGCAGTCCCCACCTTGATACCGAATTACACAATGAGGTATCAAAACATCATTGACACATCAGCTGTGCTAATTCTAATTGGTCAGCTTGCTTTTTATTTCTAAGTACAAGTCTACACAAATAGAAAGTTAAAAGCAGAGTATAGCATACGAACAAGCATTGTAAAATGAAAAAAGCGCTTGTTCATTCTCCACAGAGACCCGTGTTTTGGTTCCTTCATTGGTTGATAATTGATACTTATACCAGGGTTCGGGTTTGGCTATCTCGACCATTAGTCGGAGCACAGTGAGGATGGTCAGCCATATACACAGATCCCAGTCATTCATCTTAATCTTCTACTGTTAGTCCTGTAAGACACAAATGTAGTATTTATTCAAT